ACCCAGAAGTGCCCTTTGTGTACTCATGAGACTGGCCTTGCACCATCTCCAGGCCATGAGTCACACCACCTTCTCCTGCCTGGTTCCATATTGCACAACCAAATGCCTCGCGGACAAGGCTGGAGCAAGGCCTCGCTAGAGCCCCCGGAGCTCTGCTCTAGCCACAACCAGGATCGCTCATAGATGAGCGCTGACCCGGGCACATACTCGCACCCCAGGCCAACTTCCCATCCAGCGGAGTGCTTGAGGAGGAGGAGCAGCTGAATCCCAAGCATCTGGAGCACGGTCAGCTTCAGTCCTCCCAGAGTCCACCAGTGGGGTGGCCCACATGTGCTGGACCCCATGAGTCCCTTTGGACAGAGAATCACCCATCAGACCGAGAAGTGTGGCTAGGCCAACTGTGCAGTGCGAGCTGGGAGACCTGCCCCAAGAACCTCCAAACTTGGCTGTCTCCCCCGAGATGCCCAGAGGGGAGGCATCCCCTGCAGGACCCTGCCCTGGCACAGTCAAGCTTGTACCCCGCAAGAACGCCTCTCTCGGCCAGCTGCAGCGGGCACCTGCGACTCACCTGAAGTGGAGCCTATGGGGCTTGGAGAGCAGACCTGGAAGCGGGGAGGGCTGTGCCCCCGTGGCGTGGAAGCCATGACTCCTCCCCCTGGTGGAGAAGGGGGTGGTGGAGGACACTGTGTGGTAAGCTGGGCTGTGAGGCCAGATGGATGTCGTTGTCGAATGCCCAGCCGCAGGATGGTGCTCGGGGAACTTTGGGATTGGTCCAAGTTGGAAGCGTCAAGGAGGGCCTGGTTCAATAAAGGTTCTGTGGGGAGGACAAACAGGGAAGCCTGGGTCAGCCTCCCGTTGCCGAGGGGAAAGAACCGCCCCGCAGCCCTATATCCTTCATGGATTTCCACCCGTCCTTCTTGGATGGGATGCAGGGGGTGGCTGGAGAAATGGGCCCCCAGGTCCCTCTGCACATGCTTCCTCAAGTGGACCTTGGACCTACCAGTATCCACCCTGGTGGGGGGGGGGGGCTTAGAGATATGGAAGTTCTCATAGCAATCCATGGAGGGTCTCCACCTGGATCGCCCTTGGGCTGAGGCAGATGGTGGTGGAGGCCACCATTGTTGGTGATGCTCTCCTGGTCATTCTTCTGCTGCCGTTTGAGGAACAGCCCAAACCAGGGGACACGGGACCTCCTCGTCCTCCACACTCTGCATGGCTTCGCTCTCGGCTGATCTCTGAGGGTGCCCCTTTGTGAGTGCCCCTCGAGGAACTTTCTCCCAGCTGGCCCGCTAATCAGAGATGGGGGGGCTTTCATGGTGGAGCTGGGGTGTTGCCTGACTTTTGTTCAAGCAGCCGCCAGGCCTCCAGGCCAAGGTCTGCCCCAGCTGCCCTGAACCCTTGGGACACTGCTGCAGCTCAGCACTGAGTGGATGCACAGAGACTCTGGGTTAGGGCCCAGGGCAGCCTGGGGGCTCTTATTTGGTTAGAATCAAGGGCATGCCACATCCCCCCCCCCCCGCATGCCACCTTGCTGGTCCAGCCGGGTGGATTCAAAGTTCGGCAGCAGGTTTCTCTCGTTGAACTGGTCGCGAAGGACGGACTTGAGCTCCTGGTTCTCGCGTAGGAGGAGCACCAGCTGTTTCAGCTCTTCGTTCTCAGCCACGAGGGCCTTGATTTCCTTTCTCAATGCCTCATAGCGGGTGAAGATAGCCATCCCCTTAAAAGTGCTGTGAAGTGGGGAGACTCTGCTGCCTCAGGGTGCCCCAAAAGAATGACATTCAGAGGGCCATGTGGGAGCCCCAGCTGCCAAGAGCTCCCCTCTCCTGTCCACTGCTGGGCTGGTAGGTGGCAGCTTGGACAGCTGTCAGTGACCCAGGCAGCCTTTGTGATGCGGCCAGGTGGGGGAGGGAAGGAACTGGAAGGTGAGGGGGGGCGCTGGGCTCTGCTCCAGAGGAGAAAGGAGCTGCTGGGAGGGCCTGGAGGGCCCTGACCCAGCCAGGAGGGACCCTTGCCGGCCCAAGGGTGGTGCCTGGTTCTAGCCAGCTGCTCCCACAATGAAGAGGAGGGGGGCTTCTGGGGGGAAACGGTATAGGGGTTCCTGCCTGAGCAGGGGGTTGGACTAGAACAGGGCTTTTCAACGGGTGGTACGCGTACCACTTGTGGTACATTAACGAGTGGCAGATGGTACGCAGCCCTGCCTAGCCAAGTGTAGTGGGGGAGGGAAAGAGCCAACGCAGGCAAGGACTTACTGTGAGAGAGTCCTCTGGAGCTGCAGAGTGGCTGGGGCGAGGCAAAGGCCCCAGGCTCACTTCTGGCTCACCCTCCCCCATGAGAAAGGAGGAGGGGGGCGGAGACAGGAGAGGTTATAAAAGGAGGCAGTTTGGGTGGGAGAGGGAGAGAGAGAGAAAAAGAAGCAGCCTTGGGAGGAGGTGGAGTCAATGGTCATAAGTGTGAAAAATGGTCATAAGTCATTTCAGTGCAATTGCAACTTTGAATAGGGGTTTTTTTTTGGTCATCAACTTTTTGACACCTTGCAAGGTGGTACTCGAATATTGCCACATCCTAAAAGTGGTACAATTGGTGAAAAGTTTGAAAAGCCCTGGACTAGAAGACCTCCAAGATCCTTTCCAACTCTATTATTATTATTGTTGTTGTTGTTGTTGTTGTTGTTGTTGTTACTGTTATTATTATTATGGGGTTGGCCATGAGGGTGAGGAACACTGACCTCTTCCTCCGGCCTGCCAGCCTGCTGACGAGGGTCTCTGCCCCTTCTGGCAAGAGGCGAAGTTTGGTGCCCTAGAAAGAGGCAGGTGGGTGCTGAGCCCGGCCCCGGGGGAGGCCCTTCTGGCCGGCTCCCTTACGACAGTGGCCCGATTGCGAGGGGCAAAGCCCAGAATGCAGATGCTGCTCACGGCCCACGAACTGCCCTACACAGGCGCAACCCAGGCCATCGAGACTGTACTACTTCAAAGCTTTATTTAAAATGCAGACAGGCTGGCTTCATGCAGGAGCTTGGTTGAAAACGGCTAAAGGGACTCCTGTCCCTTTGGGTCCACTGGGTCTCACTCGGACTGGTCCAGAGACGAGATGCACACCTCCGGCAGGGCACCTGGACGGCCCTGGGGGCCTTCAGTAAGCAGCCAAACATTCTGGGCCATCCGTGACTTGCCCATTATCATATTTAGGCTTCCTCTGGACAAGAAGCCTTCTTCCCCTTCCTCCTCCTCCTCCCTCTGCCCCCCCTTTCAGAAGTGATATTTCAAAAAGTTCACTTGTTGGCCAGTGGAGAAAGAAGGTCCAGTTATGTGGTCAGCATTTGGTCAACTGGGGGCGAATATCTGTGGCTTGGGTGGAGGATGAGGGTGGAGGTCTGTTCTCCGAGCTTGTGGGTTGTTTTCCAGATGTTTTGTTACCAGGCTAGGTGACACCTTCCATGCAGCTGAAGAGGTTGCCTGGCCTGGTAATGAAACGTTCGGAAACCAACCCACACACTTGGGGAACAGACCTCCACCCTCACCTGGCCAGCTGTCGGTGCTCTGAAAACTAAGCAGCGTCCGCCTTGCTGCCCCACGGCTGTGGGCTGGAGAAAAGCCCCCTTGTGTCCCATGGGTGGGTTGGGGAGCTGGGTCTTGTTGCATGGAGCCTCACGGAAGCCGTGCAAGTTGAGTTCCACCAGAGGAGACTCAGGGGAGGGTCCACAGAGCTTCGCCTGGAAGAGAAAACGGTGCCCCTTTCCCAGCTCAGAGAAGACCGGAAGTGCCAGTTGTGGAGAGAGTGGCCTCTGCTCTTGCTGGAGGCTCTGCGGCCAGGCAGTGGTGAAGGGACAAGGCCATGGATGAATGTGCGTCTCACACACCCAGCACCTCTCCACAGCCACGGAGTCCCCAACAGGTGCAGCGAAGCCCCACCATTTGGCTGGGGAAGGGGGAAGGCGAACAATATTTGGGGGAGGGGAAGGAGCCTGCCAGCAACTTTGCCCCCTCAGCTTCTTCTCTGCCAAGTGCTGCCAGATCGGGCGAGCTGCCAATGAGGGGATCCATTTCATAGCTCGACAGGCGTTTCTTCACAGGTGGGCATCCCACCTTCATTCTTTGGGGGCTCTTAGAAATTAATGTAAAGACACCCCGCCTCTTCGCAGCAGATGATCCTCAGATCTCCCTCCACGCACGTTGTTCATCCATCGCATTAGCCACGTTAAAACTGCCGGTGGTGTGTTGGAAGAGGACTGGCCAGGCCAAGTCAGGCAGGGAACATCCTGGCACACACCTTGGGCAAACGGGCAGACCCTACAGTGGTGGCACCGATGGCTCCGGGCTTGCACAGCTTGTGCTTCTGCAACAGATCTTTTACTTCATCAGTTTGACAGCCTTCATGGATGGGGCAACTCCAGGCAGAGCGTTTTTGTGCCCGTGTTTCCCCGGCGATCGTACCCATGTCCAGCGAGTTCCAGAAGGCCTTTAATATATCTTTGCAATGTTTCACCTGCCTTCCCCACGACCATTTTCCAACCAAGCTCCTCTAGAAGGTGCTCGGGGATGTGCTTGTTTGGCACACAGATGGCATTGTCTGCCCCCCCCCAGTCTAAAGAAGTTCAGAGGCTAAAAGATATGAAAAACAGTTGCAGGAATTGGGTATGCCTAGATCAGGGGTAGGCAACCTTGGCTCTTTTATGACTCGTGGACTTCAACTCCCAGAATTTCTGAGCCAGCCAGCCTACTCCTGGTCTAGTCTAAAGAAAAAGAAGACTAGGGTGACATGATAGCTGTTTTCCAATATTTGAGGGGCTGCCATAGAGAGGGGGGGGGCTCAACCTCTTCTCCAAAGCACCTGAAGGCAGGACAAGAAACGAACGGAAGCTAAGCAAGGAGAGAAGCACTCTGGAACTAAGGAACATCATGTCAGCAAGGACAATTGATCAGTGGAACAGCTTCCCTCCAGAAACGGTGGGTGCTCCATCCCTGCAGGTTTTAAAGAAGAAATTAGACACCCATTTGTCTGGAAAGGTACAGGGTCTCCTGCTTGAGCAGGGGGTTGGACTAGAACAGGCCTTTTCAACCAGTAGTACGGGTACCACCTGTGGTACATGGGCACCTGGCAGATGGTACGCGACCATCCTAGAAAAGTGGTAGCGGGGGAGGGGAATGAGCTGAACCGGTGGCAGTACCACACAAGCCTGAGCGAGAGACAGCTGGAGCTGCAGGGCTGACAGGGCTCAGTGGAAGCACCAGGATCAGCTCTTCTTCGGGGTTGTCAGGACTCAGTGGAAGCACCAGGATCAGCGCCAGGCTCCAGCTGGAGCTCGGCGCTGATCCTGGCGCTTCTGCTGAGCCCAGAAGCGCCGATCAGCTGGAATGTTGCAGCATCCCCAGGGTCTTGTGATTCAGATGCTTCGCAACTGTTTCATATTTATGACGGTCACAGTGTCCCAGGGTCATGTGAAGTGACCAAAACCTGCTGCAAACACCCAGCAGATGGGGGAATAAAAACCAAACACCCCCCCACCCCACCCCCACTGCCAATCCTCAACAGAAATGCTCACAACAATGAAAGCCTCAGACAGGAGGAAGAGCGCTGCCGGGTGGGCAGGCAGGCGTCTTGCTCGGCTGTGGCTTGGGGGGCACTTTTTTCAGTGCCATTGTAACTTCGAACAGTCACTAAGCGAACTGTTGTAAGTCAAGGACTACCTGTACTTTATCACTTTTTTCCTTTTTTTTTGGTCATCAAGTTTTTGACACCTTCCTAGGCGACTGGTGGTACTCGGATATTGCCATATCCTAAAAGTGGTACAATGGGTGAAAAGGTTGAAAAGCCCTGGACTAGATGACCCCCAAGGTCTCTTCCAACTCTGTATTGTCAGGTCCCCAAATCCTTATTCTCTTCCTTGCATATGTATTCTTGTGCTCTTGTTTTGGGGCCTGCAATTCTACTGGGGGGAGGGAGATATTTACTTTTGTTTTCTACTTTTCCTCTCCTGCCTCTATCCACTTGAGAAAGGAATGTGTCTCCCTTATCAGGGAGATGGTTGTGGATAAAAGGAAACTGGAGAAGACCTTGAGATGTGCACCAACTGTGCCAGTTACCCGCACATCGTGCCACCTGTGGATTGGCTGGACTTCAAATGGACATTATGACTCTGGTGGGAGGAGGAATATTGCTGGTTTAACTATAGTGTTTAAACGGGATTTTCCCCAGATCTCGCCTTGACTTCCCTACTGTCACTGACCCCTAATAAAAGTTCCTTTTGAGACAATGCCTGTTTCAAGAGATCTGCTTCCTTGGGTGGTTGACTGAGGTGGGTCCTTACAGTTATTCTGCTATCTGTCGATGTGGACTGAGGGCAGATCTGCTCTAGCACATCAATGTCTGGAACCTTATCTGCCCATCCGGTGCCCAACACTCTCCAAAGGCAAGTCCCACATAAATGCTTGAGCTGTCCTTCAATACACACATTTCACAAGCACTAAGAAGGGTAGAAGGCCTCTGTAGACCTTCAGTTTTTGTTGCTGGTCTAATTTCTTGATGTTCCCACAGTGGGGTGTGATTCTATTGGAAGCAGGACTCGCCTTTGCTCTTTTGCAGTGGACATCTGTACTGGTAGTCACTGGAGAGATGCTGTGATGACCCAGGGCCCCGAACGGAGGCAAAGCAATTAGCTGGTCAGAATAATTGTCTTTGTAAGCACTGCCAACGTTCACCCAACAGTCAACTGAGTTCAACAGTTCTTTAAAGTAAAACAGATAACAAAGTATGATCTTTTCAACGCCCAGCTTGCCTGTAATCTGCAAACTGCAAAACTGAAGACAGCAAGGAAAACTCAGCAGGAAACAAACTTGATCCAAGATACAAAGTCCAGGTACAAGAGCTCACATCACAAGAGTTCACGTTTGTTCCCGGCAAATGCCCCACCCCACAGCGTCTCCTTAAATGCCTACTCCCCAGGTGTGCCTTGTAAAGTAGGGTGTGACGCTCTCCTCCCGAGCAAGTGAGCCTGCCTCCGTTGTTCCCTCCTCCTCTCTGCTCTCCTTGCTCTGGGATCTGGTGGAGAGGGGCCCCCCTCCCCTCACCTGAGCTCTGCCTTCCCTGTTCCAAACTTGAAGGGCCCTGGCCTGCTTCAGCCTGTTCCTCCCCACAGTCCTCCGAAGCCACAGACACCCCCTCCTGGGCCTCAACAGGGAACTTCATGTTGTCCTCAGAGTCAGGCTCGGACGGAGGCATGACAGATGCTGCCTAAGTGAACTGGTCCACTGCTGCTCGTTTCTGCCTTTTGATTGCGATTTTGGATTCTGCATACGATGCAGGAGGAGCAGGCTGGTGCACGACTACAGACTTTCAAATACTGATGGTGACTCCAAGGATGTAACAAGCCATAGAGAATTTGTCCAGCCTGACATGTATCTCTGGCCCTGAGCCAGCAACCAGGACATGGTCATCAGCTAAGAGGAAACCCCTCAGAAGAGTTTCCTTCGCTTTGGCGAAAGCTTGAGGTCTCCTTAAGGGGCAGAGCTTCCCACCCACTTTGTGCTTGAGGCCGATTCCAGCACTGCATTCTGAAAGACATCGTACAGCCTGGCAGTGAACATCGTGCTGAAGAGGGTGAGTGCCAGCAGAAGGCCCTGGTAGCACCATTGGTGACTGCCTTAGCGGATTCTCCACCACGCAGCACCCTGGCCATCACGGAACTTGCCATTTGGATTTAAGTGAGAATTGCGCAGCATCAGGCTCATTTTCTTCCATCTAACCGGGGGGCAAGGTTGAGTCGAGAGAAGCAGAGGTGGGACTCAGTGCAGCGGGTGGGTGAGCATCTTCTCTGCCTTGTCCTGCTCTTCACGCTCCAGGCACTTGCAGAGGCCGCCTTCGTGGCCTTGAGCGGAGGAGGCCGTTGGGCCTTCCAATGGTCCCACCCACTCAGGCCACTAGTCAGTCTTCATGTGCTTCAGCGAGGGTTTAAGGCCCATCAGCCACCCTCCCCTGGTTCAGCCAGGGGGTCAAAGCTGTTACCCAGGATGTGGTTGTTGCCACATGCAAACAGCTTTGGGGAGCCACAGGTGATAGTGCAAGGTGGGGCTCAGAGGTGGATGAACTGACGGGAAGGACATAACATGTTTCCCTGCCAAAGATGCTCCCTTCCCTGATACCCCATGCACCCCCACCCCTTACTGTGCTTCTGGAGAGACATGGAAACCTGGTTGCTGAGGTGAACAAATAGCACCGTATCCTGTCCTGGATGGCGTTTTTCGCTTCATCCCCAATTTCTATGCCCGTCTGGTGCAAACTGCATAGACTTTTTTTATGGATAAAGCACAGATTTATTCAGACTGTGTCATGACAAATGAAACCAGCCAAGAATATCATTCTTTCCCTCTTTCCTTTCTTTCTCCGTTTCACAATCACTTACAGGATTTGTTCAACAAAGCTTAATGGCATGTATTATTTTTGAAAAAAATTACACCTCCCCCCGAAATATATCTATGGGCTGGAACTAAATCGCCAAAGTCTCTGTGTGGCTCAGATGCTGTGGATATCCCTGGGATACAGCCCACGACGGGGCCACAGCCTGTTCAGAACTGTGCTGTAGAGGCAGTGTGCAAGCGTGCACGCACGTACAGCTCCACGTGTGTGCACAGAGGGCAAGCGCACACAACTCCATTTGTGTAAACTACGTGCACACCCACCACTCGTACAAATGGAGCTGCTGGAAAGGTTGGAGACCGGTGCTCTGGAAGGCTCCTGCAGCACACACATTCACCCCCCCCCCATCCCTCCTTGGAGCCTCCTGTGCAGCTCATTCAAAGGACACCTTTCACAAGATCAGGTAGACATTGCCCCTAGCCCAGGAAAGGCCCCTTCCTCTCCATTCTGGCTGGATGCAGACAAACGAAGACTTTGCTGTGGGCATATTCTGACTTTTATTAGACTGCTATTTATACAGCTTAGTGCAGAGGCTGGCCTAGGGGGCAGAGTGGCAATGGCTCAGCATGCAGCATTTCAAGCCCCCCCAAGCCAGCCACGTGGGGGAGGGGAAGGAAGGAGAAGAAAGTGTCCCCAAGTAACATCAACATCCCAGTTAAAAGGTCTCGGCAGACCCCAACGTGGAGGTGCCGAGAGAGATTTTGAGCTGCACACCCTCAGGGCCGACCAAGCCCCCCTTTGCTGCCCAACACCCACAGCCTCCCCCCCCCAGGGTGAAACACTCTGCCCAAGACGGCCAGGGGGAGCCGGTGGGGAAGGTCATGCCCAGCAAGCAAGGGAAGGAAGGCCAGGATGGGCATCGGAGGGACTCAGCGGGCGCTCCTGGGCTCAGGAGGAGCAGGACAGTTTCCAAAATGAAACGGGCATTTCTAGAGCAAAACGCAGTGGACAAGAGCAGCAGCATATTTACACCCCTTCCTCAACTCGGGGTCACCCAAGAGATGCAGGGCGTGAATCCCTTCTCTTCCTCTCTCCGGGCAGGCAGGCCAAAGGCAAGCGCCCACTGCAGCCACCTTGCGGTGCCGCCTTCCCTGGAAGCATAAGGACCCCGACCCCAGCACACCAACCAAGCCCGTAGGGAAAAGAGAACAAAACTGGGGAGGGGAGGGGACTGTGAGGGAGGAAAGGGCTGGAGGTGGCCTACTCCTTGGCACGGCCAATGATGGCCAAGATGTACAGGAAGATGTTGATAATGTCCGTGTAGAGGTTGAGGGCCGCAAAGATGTACTCCTCCTGGCTGATAGCCAGCTGCTTGTTCCCCAGGATCAGCTGTGTGTCCACCGCCAAGAACTGCAACAAAGACGTGGCTGAGTTAGTTCCCAGCAGCTCCAATGGATGGCCGACTGGGGGGGGTGTCTTCCGCCAGCCCTCAGGCCTTTCCCTACTCTAAACCTCCTGCAGAGCAGCCCCCGCTACTCCACGAGACAAGAGACCCCCCCTCTTCCCAAGGTGCCGCAGACACTCACGCAGGTGAAGAGCAGGGCCCCAAGGGACGCGTAGACGATCTCCAGGATGCGGTTCCGGATGAAGATGCAAAGGATGGCGAAGATGAACAGGACCATCAGGCAGACGATCAGCACGCCGCGGCAGGAGGTGAAGTCGTACTTGGTCTGCAGGAGGGGAGGGAGCCACAGGGCAAGTTCAAGAGGTTTGGCATCCGGGCTGCTTTCCCAGACTGACCCCACTCACACACGTTGCAGAATGCAGAGGCTCTGCTCTAAGGGACCAAACGGGTGACACGCCCAGGGATATGGGAATCCTGGACTCATCTGGCGCAGGCACGGTGGCCTCACCAGGAATCTCGCTCTTGGGCCCTTCATTCCCAAGAGCAGCACCGCCAATGGGCATGGGAAATTCTGGGGTCCAAGGCAAGCGAGTGCTCCCCAATCCCCCCTGCAAACATGGGAAGGTGACCCTGACTTGTATCTGGACGCCACGTGGCCCAATTCCCCCATCCCGGAGGAAGCAGAGGGCCCCCACCTGCAAGGAGAAGATGACGACGGTGAAGCACACGGCAGTCGTGATGCCCACGGCCATGATGACAGCGTCCGTGTTGTAGAAACTGGCAATCATGCCCACCATGTAGGAGAGACTCAACGTCAGGATGGACTGTCGGGGGAAAGGAGGGTGTTAGTGCCTCCACCAGGGCTTGGAGGGGGGCCTCCTCCCTCCCTTGGGGGGCTTCTCCCGAGAGCCAGCTAGACCCTCCAAGCCCTCGTGGAGAGCATCCCCAATCTCTTCTACCAGGGCGATGAGGTTCCATGGGTGCTTCCGCCGGAAATCCCCACAGCAGCTCAGGACGATGAGGGAGATGAAGAAAACCGCATAGGAGACGTAGTACGTCCAGACATTCTTGCGCACAAAGCCCTTCACGTCCTTCACAAAGGTGAAGATGGCCACAAAGGAGAAGGTCACAGAGAGCTGGATGGTCAGCACCAGGAAAACCTGCGGGTACAAGGGGAGCAGCTCAGCCTGGTCACCAGTGGTGCAAAGTGCTCCTGCAGGGCAGTCCTCTGGGGCACCAGGAGAGGGAGCGATCCAGCTGACCAAGGAGGGGGGAGCAGTCCTCTCCCCTGCCTGGACTTTCCTACAAGAGGCACCCGACTCTCTTCCACGTAAGCTGAGCTGCTCACAGGAGATTCAGCGGGGACCCCATCTAGCTCAGCTTCACCCAAGAGTCTGCCCAACCCTTTCTTGGGCAGCGTGGGAAGTCCACCGGTGGAAGCCCTTCCCTCAAAGTGGAGAAAGAGCATGGAGACCCTGCTTCGTCCTGTCCTAAGAAAGTTCTGGAGATCCTCCCCTCTACACTGTGTCCTTTTTCTGCAAGAGACGACCAGAAGGTCTATGGAGGAAGGTCCATTGTGTTCAGGTAGGGTCCTCCCCCCTTCTGGCCGAAGAACCATTCCCTTCTTCTTGCAAGGAGTGGGCAAGGAGCTCATCCCAAGCAGAGAGTCTTAGGCCCCCTAAGCTGAGCCTCCCCTCTGGTGGGGCCTCCAAGGAAGGGACACTAGCTCTGACCAGAGAGGCCTCTGACCACTTGCAGCCTGGCTCTGGGCAGGGTGGCAGCAATCAAAGGGTCAGCCTCTCACCCAACCAGCAGCATGCTGGCCACAGCTCAACCAGCCCTGCAGTGACCATCTTGCTGACCTTGCGAATGAAAGCCTGCCGGATGTTCTTGTCACCCCAGTTGCTGGGGGTGAAGCCATCGTTGTCGTAGTAAGAAGGTGGACCGTCCTCGTGGTAGTTGTTCTGCATCGGGTCTGTGCAGAAGCAGCAATGCAGATGGACTGAGTGACTCTCTGTACGGACCCTGGACAGCCCGTCGTCCGGAGAGCAGGCCTGGTGCAAGTGGGCGCCTGCTCCCCGAGTCACACAGAGGGTGCCCCCTTCCACCCAGTCAGAATTCAGGAGATGTGACACCCCTGCCCCCCCCCCCCCGAGGAGGCTGCTCACAGCCAGTGGATGCCTTAGGACTCCCTCCATGGCCCAGGATGGGGGGGGGCAGAGCCACTGGGGCTTTGCAGAGGGCCCCGTGCCCAGGAAATTCACCCCTCCCCGCTGCCCACCAGGGCACAACTTACCAGGTGCGCTCATAGGTGCTCCAGGATGCGGCTGCGCGTAGGGAGCCTGTGGGTAAGGCCCTTGAGGGTACGCAGCTTGTGGATAAGGTCCGTAGGGCGCGGCTTGGGGGTAGGGAGCAACCGGGTAGGGGCTCGGAGGATAGCCAGTCTGGCCATAAGGTGAAGGCTGGAACTGACCCTGTGGGTGGGGAGCTTGGACTGGATACGGAGCTTGGACGTAGCCGGGGGGCATCGGAGGCTGCGGGCCTGCATAGGGGTCCCCCGACACCAGGAAGCTCTTCTCGTGCGACATGGTGGTGATGCTGGGAGCTGCAGGGGGGGGAGAGGGAGGCAGGTGAGGACGTGGCAGCATCTGTTACAGTCCTTCCTTGTCCTGACAATCCCCCTTCCCAAAAAATCCCCCCCCTGCCCAAACAGGCTTCCTGACCAACTGGGATGCCCTAAAGAGATCCTGGGGTTCCCTCTCGTCATCCACCACATCCCACCAACCCATCAGTGCCCTCTCACCCCCAGTGCCCAGCCACCTGCTGGGAGCAAAGGTAGGGAGAGGGGGAGGAGTTTGGGAGGACCCCCCCACACACACACCACTTCTGAGGGCATTCACAGGGGTATCCCCTTCCAAGGCTCCCCCCAGGCCAAGGCTGGGCATTCTAGCTGAGCAGCTCATCCTTCCCTGGGGGGGGGGGAGGAGGGCATTCTCCCCCCCCATGGTATCCCACCTGGGGACCTCCCCTCCCCTATCCTGACACTGTGGTCTTCAGCGCAGCCGGTGGCCAATATTAACCCCCCCTCCCCCCAAGAGAACAGAACCGGATGGCTCTCTAACGGAAGATGGAGCAGGAGGGATGGCCAAAGCAATTTAGCAAGAAATTTTAATTTATGGCATTAAAGCCTTTGAAGGTCACAGAGGGATTAACTCATCAACTTTTTTCCAGCTCTGGTTAAGGCAGACATGGTTTATCTCTGTGTGTGTGTGTGTGTGTGTGTGTGTGTGTGTGCTCTTCCCAGGAAGTGGCCCTGGGCCTCCCTTCAGCTTTATCTGCCCTCTTTTAGCCAGCAGCCCTGAGATTTGGGGGGCTCCTTTAGATTAACCAGGATTAACCAGGGTTAGCAGATTCTCCTACAGTGGCAGCAGTTTTTGACTAAAGGTCGCAAGGTCTCCTTCCCAGCAGGAGCAGCTGCAACAGCAGCAGGAAGACACCCCCCCGGCGGGTATTCTCTGCCCCTCTTTGTGGTCTGTCATGTGGGGCTCCCCGAGTGACCGATGCCAGCTTGGATCGGCTCCCGCCTCGGCTATTGGCAGAGCCCCCCTCAAGCCCTGCTTGGCTCCTGGAGGCCGTAACACCCGAGTATCGAGGGCAAGGGTGCTCAACCGGTGGCCCTTCCTTTGCCTGGGACCCTTTGGGACCTCGTGGCTTTGGGACCCCATCCAGGCGCTGACCGGATCTGGCCCTGCTTGGCTTTCTATGAGGTCAGCTGGAGCTGCCACGCCAACCGAGCAGCAGCCGTGGGGAGTTTCCTCACCCCCCCTGCTGCTCATGGGCATCTCCCCTGGGGGGGGTCTCGGGGGCCTTCCGAAGGCCCACTTGGACTCCTGGACAGGCGTCTTCAGGAGAGGCAGAGCTGAGCCCCCACCACTTCACCAGAAGAGGAGACTGGCCCCTGACCTGAGGTGATCTAAGCCCATAAGCCACGGCACTCTCAGTTGGGGCTGCCAAGGGCTGGAGGGGCTCCGTGCCCAGGAGGAGGGTCCCCGGAAGGTTCCCAGTTACCTGTCCCCCATTAATCCCAGCCCATTCCAGACTCCAGGCCCATTGCAACTGTGCCGACAGGCCGCAGCCCCCGGTACCCTTTGCCAGCCTCCCCTCCTTCTCCAGAGCACCCAGCCCAGCCCACCTTCAGGGCCCAGGACGCCCTCAGACAGCCTGGCCTAGCAAGGCCAGAACCACCTCCAGCGCCCCCCTGCCTGGCAGGAGCAGCTCCCCAAGGCTGCCACCACTGTGTTCTATTATGGGCTCCGTTGCCATGGTGCCCAGCAAACTGTTATTCTCGCTGGACAGGCTTCGGGGGGGGGCCTCGACTGGCTCTTTGGGAGGGGGGGAAGAGGCTCCAGTCCAAGAAGCAGGAAGTGCCATGTGGCCAGAGAATCATGGCACTCCCAGGGGAAGGCTGGCATTGTGCCCAAATGCCAGCCTGCCCCCTCCCATCAGCAAGGGTTTCCCTTCACGGCCTTTGGCCTTTGCTCCCCAGCCTCCACACCCCCATCAATCCAGAGCGAACAGCAAGAGGGGGGCCCTGGCCCTGCTAACCCCCCCCCTTCTCCCAATCAGGAGCAAGCCATTGCCTGGAGCTCAGCAGGGGCCGAGGTCCGGGGGGGGTCCAGGGGTGCAGCCTGAGTGGCCCCAGCCTTTCCATTTCACCAGCCTCAATCAGGCAGGGTAGGCCTGCCTAGTGGACGGGCTCGTCCCTTTCAAAAATCTGTGCTGTCTGGATGTTGTGAGGTGGCATGCAATTGGGCATCTCACAAAAGTTGCAAAGATTAAAAAAAAATAAACTGGAATGTGGAAATTTTTACAGTTTCAGAGGCTCCAGCCCTTTTATTTCTTCATCTGAATAAATTCATACGTTGCCTGATTCTGCAATTCTGGGTGCTTTGCAACTTTATGCTCCAAAAGGGTGCGCCCCCTTCTCAAGAGCCCACCCTTGGACCCGCAGTATTGGACGACATTCGTCCAGCCTCCCACCCCGAACCCTTTTGAGGGGAGAGAGGGTGGCTGGCACACGGCTCCAGAGGGCCCCGCATGAAGCCAGGTGTCCGGACCCTTCTCGGTCGGGGTTCAGGCAGGGCACAGCACTGGAGACAGGCCGAGCCTTCCGTCCTCTTGGCGGCTTTCCGTACCATCCACCCTGGCGTCCTTCTGGGCCAGCTTCAGGGTTGGCAGGGGGAGGCCCGGAGGTTCTCCTCCTTCCTCCATGATGGGCTCTGGTCGGGGCTGGTAGGAGGGCAGGGTGGGGCCCCGGGGCCCTGCACCTCTCCTTTCCAACGCGAGACCCCTGGGGAGGCAGCTGTCCAGTGGGGCCTGGTGTCACCATAGGCCATGAATCCCACTTGTGCATCTCCTCCCTGGATGGACAGGGGATGCCCTGGCGGTGATGGCCGAGGGTCTGGCTGGGGAGGAACCGGCTCCCACTCAGTCCTGACAAGACAAAGTGGCTGTGGGATTTTATTCCCCCCACCACCACACTGTCCAGGCCCTGGTGATGCTTCCCTGGGCTGGGCTGATGTGCAATTTGGGGGGGGGGGTCCTCCTGGACTCAGGGCTACTTCTGAAAGGGAAGACATGGCTGGGGAGGCCTTTGCATCGATCTGTCTGGGGGGGCACTTGCAACCCCTTCCTGGACCAGGAGGCCTTGCTCATGGTCACTCATGCCTGCTCACCTGCCCTCATCTGGATTACTGCGATTATCTCCTCATGGGGCTGCCCTTGAAGACCACCCGAAAACTTTAGTCGGTCCAGAATGCGGCAGCAGCACCCACACAATCACAGGGTAGTGCCAGCTCTCTGGCGGCAGCTGCACTGGCTCCCAGTCCCTTTCTAGGTGCAGGTCAAGGCGCTGCTCGTCCCCTTAAGGGCCACATTTGGCGCAGGGCCAGGTTGTCTGCTGGATCACCTTTTTTCCTAAGGAGCTCTACCCCTCCTACCTGGGGAGAGAGAATGGGCACGCTCCTGGTCCCTTCCCCCCCCAACCATCCTCTAATGGGGGGTCAGCCCCACCTCCCTGACGTTCAGCAGCCCCCTCCCTAGTCCTTTAGTCTTTCTTGGGGTGTCACAAACCAGGCTTTTTCCTTGCGAGATTACATGATAGCACAGTGTTTCTCAACCTTGACCATTTTAAGGCATGTGGACTTCAACTCCCAGAATTCCACAGCCAGCAATGCTGGCTGTGGAATTCTGGGAGTTGAAGTCCACATGCCTTAAAATGGTCAAGGTTGAGAAACACTGTGATAGCAAGTTAAGTTGGATTGGTGCCAGGTTCTTGTTGTTTTACCTCGTTGCGTTTTATATATTTTAAAATGACTTTATATGCCTTTTAATTTTTAGAGAGTTGGCTTTAAAACGGGTGGCTGTATAACTAACTGCTCTAAAGAAATAAATCATCCCAGTCCAGCCAGCGCTCCTGGCTCAGGGAACGGTCTGGGGACCTCACTCGGAGTCCAGAGGGTGTTTGGGGGGGCACCGGGGGCCAGGCAGCTCCAGGGCCCAAATGCAGGGGGTCATCTCGGCAGCGGCTGGGCTGCCTCCCTCTCAGAGCCGCGCCCCCCACCCGGTGCAGATGGAAAGCAACAAAATGAGGAAACGGAACCCGGAGGGGGCAAAACTGTCACGGAGCCTCGGAGGAGAAGCCGCCTCCCCAAGCCTCGGGCCAGCCGCTCAGTCGGACCAGGGGGAGCTTCGGGGGCCGCCAGTTCCGCGCCCGCTCGCGGGGCCTCCCTCGCCAGGGCAAACGGCGCAGCGCCGCCCGCCCAGAGAATCAGCTCCTCCGGGGGTCCAGCGCCGGCCGCGGCCCCCGTCAGAGCTCCGAAGCCCGCGGGGAGGAGCCGGGGCCGGGCTCCACGCTCGACTCTGCCACCCCCGAACCCCGGGAGAAACCCGGCCGGCGCCCCGCCTGCTCCGCCCGCCCGCCCGGCAGAGATGATGGACAGCTGCCCCAGTCGCGCTTTGGCACCGGCCCCGGCCCCCGCGCGCCGCCAAATGCGCAGAGCCAGCGGAGGGGCCGGCAGCGCCCCCGCCACCCCGAACGGCGGGCGGGACATCCGACCGGCGCCCCGGGCAGAGCCGGACAGGCCAGGCGGCGGCTCCGGGGATGCGCGGCTGGGGAGCCGCTGCAGCCGGGGATGCGGCCGGGCCTCTGCGGGAGCGGCGCCGAAGCCGCCCGAAACGAGGCCTCCCCTCGGCCGGGTGGCCAGCCGCCCACGGGACCCTCCCGGGGGCTACGCCGGACCCACAGCCGCTCCCGGTGCCAGGCAGGCGGGACGCGGCCTTGGGCTGGCCGGAGAGCGAGCGACACCCGCCCTGCCAGGAAGCCCCTCGCCCCGAGGCCAGGCCTGCCGGGAGCAGCCCCCGCGACGGGACTCCCCGCGCCGCCCTCGCCTCCCTTCCCGGGGCTGCTGACTCACCGTCGCCTCCGGGGCCCCGCAGCGCTCAGGGTGCGCAGGAACGGCGGCGGCGGCGGCGGCGGCGGCTTCCCCCTCCTCCCAGGCCGGGCACGGAGGGGGCGGGAACGGTGACGTCAGCAGCTAAACTCTCCCCCGCACGCAGCTTCCCCTCCCCCCTCGCGATGGCAACAGATCGGGAGGGCGCGGCACCGGGGGTTCCGCCGGGACGGGGCTCCCCTCGCTCAGGGCCTCCTCCTCTCCGCGGCCGCCCCAGCAGCCTCCCCGGAGCAGGTCGCTGGGCTCGCCCGCATGCCCCCCCCCGCCAAAAGACCCTCGGGCCCCGCCCCAGCCGCCCTCCCGCAGGGGAGCCCCACGCCGGGACCTCCGGACCGGGAGAGCGGGATTCTAACGGGCGGTCCCCGTTCCCGGCCGTGGCTGAAGCGGGACCGAGTCTCCCCCGGCGCCCCCGACGGCCTCGCGCGCTCCACGGAAAGGCCGCCTGGCGACACCGCGGCGGTTCAGGGGCTCCTTTAGCCAGCCGCGTCTATTACGGGGAGGAGGGGGGGGCTGACCCCCATTTGTGCCCCTGAGAGGTCCCCCAAAGCCACTCTCGCCCCAAAGACCCCGTCGGGCTCTTGACCAGCTGGCCTCTCTCCAGACAAGGATTCCCCCCCCCCCCCCGGCGCTCTCCAACAGCTCTGCCCACCCAGAAGCTTCCATGGGGTGGCCGTCCCCGAGCTACAACCCTTAGCAAACACGGGAAGCTTTTTTGCCCCTATCCTGTAAATGCCCCCAGTCTGGAGACCAGACCCCTCCCCCTCCACGCCCTCGGCTGTCAGCTGTCGCCTGAAATGGCATCAAAGCCAGGACTGGATAAAATGGTTGCAGAACTGCCAAATGCCCCCAGAGCAGCAGACACCACACACTGTGCTGCAGCACTGCACACACGGCACCAGAGACAACATCCACAACTCGTGGGGTGCCTTTGTACACTCCAGCCCTGAAGGTCTTGGTCAAGAGAAGGCCGATTCCCACCTACTAGGTAACCCAGCCAGGCCCACCCCACCACTTGGCCCTTGTCACATACCCAATTCCGTGGGCCCCCTCACCTCAGAAGGCCCAAACCAGCCCCCTGGCCTTTAGGCATCCCACACCCCAGCAGACCCTTGTGGGGGGGGGTCCCAGTTTGCTTTCACTCCCTCCCCAGGGCCTCTGCTGCTCCTCACTCCCAGGACCCCCCAAGGCCGCCTGCTCCACCACGAGGGCCGCCTTCACAAACCACAAAACCACACTCAGCTGTGTTGCTGCAGGGCTTTCATAAGCGCTCTTTGCTAAGCAGGTGGGCTGGCTGGGGGGGGAGGTCTTAAGGGGGCAGGGGGCCACCGGCCCAGGCCGCCCTCCCTCTCCCAGCCCTCCTGGGGAAGCAGCGCAAGGCCCCTGGCCAGGTCAAAGGGGCTCCGAGCAGACCAAGCAAGGCCCGGGGATGATGGCTGGGACGGCTCCCACTATCCCCAGGGGGCTTTCCAGTTTGCCCTGGGTACACCAGGACTCCCTCCTGTCCCCTCTGCTCTTCCGTCCTAGACTAGATGCCATCGTAAATGGGCAGTGAGTTTGGCCTCCGTTATGCGGAATAGACTACCGATTTTGCCAGTGACGAAGAAGAATCCCTGATCAAGGAGGCAGAGAAACCATCTGGACTGGTCATCAAGTTGGAAAAAACAAATATACTGACCGTTGATGTTCAGCAGTTGCCCTATGCCAAAATGGAGTGCAACTTCATAAAATCAAAACAGAATAAAGCAAAAGCAGAGCATTGCGCCTTGGAAGATGCCAGCCACGGACCGGCAAAATGTCAGGATGCCAACTCATGAGATCACGGCCCATTGAGCTGGAAGCTCATCTCCGTGGGAAGAATTCCAGCCTCTCAGCTCCTTGGCA